TCCACATGTGAGGGTAGCAAATTTTTATTGTATTCCACCCAATTTCTGTCAGCCGATTTCAATAAAACTTCGCTAATAGATGTAATTCCAAAAACTTTTGAGGTCAGTTTTTATATAAAACCGTTTTGGTTAAACCCAGAAAACTACAGACTGTCGGTAAGTATGGTATATAACGCAACACACTCATGGCCCCGCACTAGGGAAACTCTGTATCGCGGGTGCCAAGAACACACACATAGACAATCACAAATTATACCCAAACTCACGAGAGAAATAAATGTAGACCATACACATGTTTCTCCCGGCCCGGGAATCGAACCCAGGAGCTCTGCGTCCAGCAAGTCCAGCAAGGTAACCGTACGGCCACGGAGGCAGTTAGTAGACGTTAATAGTTAGTATATGTAGATTTTTTTCACAATAGTGAATACAACAAAACTAAATGTAAAGTAAAAAAATGTGGTGTTTTAAAAATGGAGGCTGGGACGAAGTCCTCAAAAATCTTTGTCTGGATTTTGTATCCCGATACATAAAACAAGTTATCCAGTCATTCCTTAAATGAATTAGCAAGAAAATATTTTTAAAGAGCTGCGATTTTGATGAGATCCCAAACACCAAAAAACATTGTTTCGCTATTCTTATATTTGGGTACGTTTCAGTTCAAAGTTCAAAGGTTAAAAGATTCCTTTGTTTTCATATACTGTTCTGTCGCTCCGAAAAGTCGTCGTCGACAAACATTCGAAATACGAGAGAGGGATAGACGATTTTCTTGGCGTATTTCATTCGCTGGTTCATTGATCGCACATTAATCATAATTTTCTGATCGCCTGGTGCATTTTATTTTGTACTTATACATTTTTCATGATAACGACATTTACATTGTTGTTACTCATACAGTATATATGTATATATATCATCGAGTATATAGCGATGTTGTTAATATTCGAGATTTGAATACGAAACAACGATCATGTAACGGCAATCAGAATTTATAATTCCCGATTAATAATAAACGCGATTGGATTTGATATCGTACGACTTCTTTTTATTTTTATTCATAACACCCGAATTGAACGTCAAACTGTCGTATTCGAACCCAAACAGAAATGACGTCTCACCCGTACGATTACTCGAGCTCGTGGGTGTCGATTCAGAATCTTACGATAACTCTGTTGTGGATTGATTCGATTTCATATTCTACGATTTCTTTTCATTTTTATTCACGACACTCAAATCGAACGTCAAACTGTCGTATTCGATACCGAACCAAATTGACGTCACACACGTACGATTACTCGAACTTCTCGACCGGTAAAGGCTACAAACGTTATTCAGATCGCAGTTATCGAAATTCCTATTGTTTACAAAGAAAGAATGTAATACGGAAATCTCTTATTATTTTAAATAAAGTCTGGATTTTGTTCAATTTTATTAATTTATTTTAATGCAAGACTAATGCATTCCTATATTTTAGGCTATTACAGTCTTAAGAATGTATATAAAAGGATTTTAATTTTTCTTATAATCCATTTCACCGACTACCTTCGCAGACGCTGATGGATAACGATATCGTATCCGAATCGAACGTTTAAAGCGATATCCAGTCGTACGATTCGGTTAAAATGTCGAAGAGTTCTGAATCGGGGTCCTGGTTGAGAATTAATCAAAAATAGTTTGCGTGCAAAATAAAAATTGAAAATGTCAGAGTACCCATCCTATGTGAATTGGACTACAGTTTAAATAAGATCTTAATATCGTCCTTAATACAAGTTTAAGAACCAAATTTTGGCGTAAGTATACTAATTATTGTACAAGTAAATTTCCAAGTTCACAATGTTAAATGTAGAGAAAGTATACGTAGTTAATTTAATATTCTACTCGCACAGACATGTAAAGCGTATATTATTATCTCCAAAAAGCTAATTGTCTTCCTTATTTCGGGTTCGTTGCCCGCACCTTTTACACAAAAGTTGTTCATGTAAACTGTTTACAATTCTTCAATTGGCACATTGACTTCCGTTTAGTGTTTACACTTCTAAAAATAGATTTTTTTTTATAAAAAAGAACCAATCTCAAAAGATTGTGGAATTACATCTATTTGCCAAGTTTTATTGAAATCGGTTACCGGATTATCACCCCCTAGTTTGCCACCCTTAGAGGTGGAATACCTTCAAATTTCAATGTTACCACTACTGAGGTACGCCCTTACCAACAAAAAAAAAGATCATTAGATAGATAATTGAAATCGGTTCACAAATGTCAGAGTTACCACGTAACACACACAAAAAAATGTCACACAATTAGTAGAATAAAATAATGAGTGTTTATTTTGTACATTTTTAGTTGGTGGGATTGGAGTTTAAAAAAAATCTTAACGCAGTTATTAATTTTAAGAAAAATAAAAGAAGGTGGTTCCTGTTCAAGTGCCATTGATTTTTTTTCACGTTCTGTATTAAAATTAGATAGAAAATACAATGTACTACTTTTATTGGTTTTATGAGTAAGCCTAACAGGGAAGGAACGAAAATTCACAACCCTCTTTTTAACAACTGAAGAGGTTCATTGTAAATTAAGTCCATTGTTGTTAATTAATATAATAAATATACCACCAAACTAACATACCTACAGTTAAAGACTACATGAAAGTGTTCAAAATGATAGTAAAATCCTATTCAGAATGTAAGGCTATAAGAGTTCATCAGCTTATACAAGCAAAAGACAAGATACGTGGGTTAAAAAACTTGAATCGAGTCAACTTCGTTTCAGTTCAAGTAAATCAAGACGATAAAGCGGGGCCATGGATTTCACAAAGGTCTTAGGGTTGCCAGCTACGAAATTATTTAAAATAATGTACAAGATATTTTTCATTTCCTATTTTGATTTTAAATGTAAAATAACAAATGAATTATTTAATGGGTTTTGACACATTGCTTCTATAGTAACAAAGAATACTTAGAATTTAATTATTTAATTAGTTGCGTGACTATAGATAGTGTGTTTCATAAATGTAGCGCAGGTTTCAGTTTTGTCTTTTGTTTCGGTAACTCGATGAAATAAATCGATGTAACCTTTGTATTTTGATGTATTTTTCATTTTTGTTTTGGAATTTAGTATGTGTTGCATTTGCATTATACATACAGAGCTTAATGTTTCGCCAGTGGAACATATTTGTGCTCAACGTCTGGGGGTATTGGATACAGTAGATGATGAATACCGCGCGCATGCTTGTGAAGAAATGAACTAAATGGATGAGTGTTTCGAACCGGCTTGGAAATTTTGAAATACTTTCAAAGGGTATTAGAAGGTATCGAGTTCTTAGTTTTCGCGATTGTTTTACATAGGAAATGAAACTATTTTTCCATATTTAAATCGCGTATATTTGTTTTTACAAACAAATCATCATTTCAGGCCCTTTGCTGGTCCCATGGTCACTGTTAACTGAGGTGGTACAGTCATCATGATATTAGTATGTTTTTATAATAATTATAACGTTTTTTATAAAAAGAACCATATAATACATGTAATTACACGAACACAGAAGTTCGTGAAATTACATGTATTTGCCAAGTTTTATTGAAATTGGTTACCGGAATATTATCCCCTAGTTTGCCACCCTTAGAGGTGGAATATTTTTCTTCTTCTACTTCTACTTCTACTTCTAACCAATAAACAAAGAATCATCAAAATCGGTTCACAAATACCGCGAAACAAAAATAAATACAGTCGAATTGTGAGACTTTTTTACGTCGGTTAAAAAGAAACTGTTAATTTTGTTGGTAGATGAATGGATGCTAATGACGACTTCAATGGGCCAAGATAAAGAGGTCTCTGGTTGGTTTTGCGGCACCGCCAGTTTAGGAAATTACCTTTTCTAAATTGGTTCTCTTCTCTAGTCTGGGTGTTGTTTTTAATTTATTCGGAAAGCAGACCACAATCGTCCAAATTGGTTAGTCATAACTCTTACGTCTATGTCAGTATACATTTAAATAATAAGTGGGCAAAGTGACGTATTCTGCTTAGTGGTACTCATAGTACAGGACTTTCCTAGTTTGAGACTACTTAATTGGTGCGATCGTCTGGCACTTTTAACGTTGATTTCCCACACAAATGCTTATAAAGACTAGATTAAGTATTATACCTTGGACTAGTAGCAGTAGAGGTCCGTGTGAAAGAGTTCGTCCAGGGAAGTGCTGCGACCTTACCTATTTCTGTCGCCAAGCAGTAATATGAGCCTAATTGCGTTCCGGTATCGAGGGATAAGCGCCCAGTTACACGATGCGAAAGTTTACGACGCCGCCCAGTTACCACGCCTTCATGTACATTGATGGCGAATGTGAATTCAATTTACTAGGTAACAATATTTATATTCCTCTGAATAATACAACGCGTAGACCAAATTGAAGCTAGTCCTGCCTGGGTGTCCGGAACGCTCATTTAAGTTAAAACGTAAAAGCTGAATAAATAGAGCTGAGCGCGATGAAATACGTGTCGAATTAATGCGTTCTAAGAGTGCTGGTGAAATTATAGGCACACAGGACTTGTCAACTCATGTATTAAGGAAGCAGCGGCAGTGCTCCTCAGATCTTTGTAATTTAAAGCTCTGAGTGGCACTGCAACTCTTAGGGACGGGCGTGTCGATTATTATTTATTCGTCCCCTCACTTAGTCTAATAAAAAAAGACTAAATGAGCTTGTGTAGCAAAACATATTTAATACACTTTTTTTTTTAATTTAATGCCCGTTTACGTTCAGTTATTCTTTTTTTTATTTTCACGTTTTTTTTAATAAATCGTAAATTCTCATCGCCAGCCCTGGGCAATAACCTACGCTTATGGCTGACTATCGCAACCGTATGCTCACGCGGTGTTTGTCTGAGAAAAATACCGATTGTTTACCTCCCTATGTGAAAAGAATAAGGAATTGCCCAGCTACACTAGGCCCCAGAGCAAGCGTTAAGACCAACTAAATAATATACTGTAAATTGTGTATAAATTAAATACTTACTGAAAATAAAATGACGATTCTTTCTGAAACAAAGCGAAAATAATAATAAGTAAAATAAAGAAAAAAAAATTCAATAACAGACTTAACAAGAAAATAATAATTTCACTCCAAACTCCTCGATCACCCTTGCCTAATAATGGATGTTAGACTAATAATAACAGAAACAAAATTAATTATCAAGTTAAAGTAAAACAATAACAAAATAAGCTTTAATACAACGTATTTCGCTTAGTTACACTCCACCACCAGTTGAGCTAGTTAACGCTAAGCCACGACGTGATAGTTCCCAACTTATGAGATAAGCTGTACACAGCCGGATCTTCGCTGTCGACTTGATATGCCGCTAGGAACTGTTGCTATTGTATATCGTTTTCCGCGTTCTCTATTTAAAATTCTAAAGGAAATGCAAAGTAGATAAAGTGAGTTCAACAAGGAACAGTGCTAGTGCCCTTATTGTTTATTGTGCGTTCTCTTTTTTCTTACATTTGCATTGAATGAAAATGTAAAGCAAGAAGCTCAAACAGATACTATAAGTGTATGATCGACATATTCTACACACATTTACACATACACACATTTATATATAGTAGCAGTAGAGCTCCTTGAGAAAGAGTCCGTCCAGAGAAGTACTGCCACCTTGCCTACTAATGCCGCCATGTCATGTGAGCATTGCTGCGTTCCAGTTTTGAATGGTAAGGGTGCTGGTGAAATTACAGGCTCGTGGGACTTTTTAACTTATATCGCAGGGCGACGGGCGCAGTGGCAGTGCCCTTTCAGCGGCACTGCAACTGTTATGGACAGGCATGACGCTTACCACCAGGCGCACAACTTGTCCGTCCTGTTACTCAGTACCATAAAAAAGAATTATATTCTACTATAGGCCTCATTCCACACAAACGAAAATGCGGTCAAAAGCTATTATAATACGCACGTATAAAATTTTTTGTTATGTAAAACAGATTGCTTTTATTATGTTATATACTAATAGAAAGTAGAAAGACAACCCTAGACTATAAAGTATCTATTGTACTAAGTTACAGCAAGCTATCAAGTAGATGCTAAGTTACGAGACGTCTGGCGCCGAGTTTTACTTGGCAACATGCCGACGCGAGTTGAATTTTAAACCATTTTCAGTTGAATATAAAGTATATAAGGAATGGATATTTTTTATAAAGCATTGAAACACAGTTATGGTCTTTCGGACCTTTAATAGGCATACGATCGATGTCAACGCTACGAGATCATCAGGGTCTGCATTTAGCATGGGCGTCCCTCAAGGTTCAATTCTAGGTCTATTATTTTATAATATATAATGACTCACCTAGCTCCGTGGAGGGTATAGTATACGAGTTAGTATTGTTTGCATATCTCCAATGTTCCTATGAAGATGTGAACAGTTAATAATCTGCTCCTTAATGAGAAAAAAACAAATTGTATGAAATTGTCATTACTTTACTAATGTTAGACAGACGGCCACAAATGTTATAGTAAGAAAAAAAAAACGAAACCTTGTATGTACAGATGTACGTCTAGACCTTTATAAATCTAGGTAGGGGACACACCTGTAAAACCTCGCTAAGGACCTTCCCAATTACTTCATTTCAGTCAGCAAGTTTTACGAAGTTCTCTATGACTTGTTACAGACCTTTATGTTGGGTTTTTTGTCATCAGGTTTTTTACGTAGCGAGGTACAGCTACCGGAAAATATGAGAGTCGCTATAGACGGCAGAAGCTGGGTCGAGTCCAGTCAGATCGAAGACATTTTTCTTTATGTTGTTGGATAATAATAATATGCTAGTGGAGTATTTTCACAAAAATACATACACACAAATACATATAACTTCAAGATAAAATATCAATAAATAAGTATTGTAATAAGCTTAGCTGCCTAAAGAGGCAAACATTGACGGTCTCTCAGGCGACGGTGTACAAAGGCAGGGGCCCTTTTATATATGCATAAATTGGTGATAGCTCAGTGGGTGTACGGTTACTTCTCTATTCAGGGTTCAACAGTTTGAAACACTGTAGCGCCATATTTGTCAAATCTTCAAAAATATCCATCGTAGATACCTTTTTGTGATTGGGGACATTTGCGTTTGTATAAGTCGTATATAAGTCGTTTTATTTACATAATTGTTATCAAACTTTTTAATTACCTATCTTAATGAGAATATAACCATAAAGAGGTATTTACACGTAACTTGTTGTAAGCCACAAAATAGTATTTTTTACTTTTTAGGGTAATTGTCAGGTAAGTTTTTCTACTCAATTTTGGTGACAATTTTTTTTATTTTAATATTTATAGAATATCATGAAGGATTATTTAATATTCGAGTGTAGTAACCTGAAATAAATAATAAAAATTGTCACCAAAATTGAGTACAAAAAACTTACCTGAAAATGACTGTTTAACTATTTGCTTTTTTTACTATTTGCAGAAAACGTGCAAATTGTGCAAACGTTTCTCTTCCTGGGGTAAAAAGAACAGTCAAAGTATTCTTATAAAGGTAATGTATACCTCGTGACGTTAATATAAAAAAAACTCATCGTTAATATGAAAATATACAATTTAAAAATTGACCCTTTCTATGCAGTTACTGTCTTTCTCACCCACCAGAATGGCGATAGGTTAGTAGCAGTAGAGCTCCTTTTGAAAGAGTTCGTCCAGGGCAGTACTGCCACCTTACCTATTTCTGCCACCAAGCAGTAACGTCAGCATTACGTATTCCGGTTTTGAAGGATAAGGGTGCTGGTGAATTTATAGGCACATGGGACTTGTCAACTTAAGCTTCAGGGTGCCGGGCGCCGTGGCAGTGTCACTCAGATCAGATTTAAAGCTCTGAATGGCACTGCAACTATTAGGGACAGGTATGTCGCTTTCCACCAGTCACAAATAATAAAAAACGTCACAAATGTCTTCTACGAAACTAACGAAATGTCAAGTGTCAACCATAGACAACTACGTGGCGACACCCGCTTTCGAAGAAACAAGTGTTGTTTACAATTCTTTATTTATTTAAATGTCTGTATCTGGGATGTTGTTACCATTCATCGTATTAGAACCGCCTTTAAAGCAGATCCTGGGATGTGTAATGGGTTAATAATGATGATGAATTATTTACATCACAATTTAAATCATGAAATCCCAAATTCGATTAGATTCGATTCTGAATTTAAATTAGGTTATTTGCATAACTACTCATAGTTATGCAAATAACTTTATTACGTCAAAATTGTAAGTTACGTCATTTCGTGTTGAAGGGGACGTTTTAATGCCATCTCTTACAACGCTAATGGCGAGGCCACACGGGCATTGCCTCGCCGCAACGCCATGATTTCAGCGTACCAAGTCGCTTGCGGTAGCACGGCGCGCCTTTTTAACGCATCGTGTGGCATGTCGTTCAGATTTATAATGTAGTACAACGTAGCGTCACAACGCAACGTCAACGTATAAATCAATACCTCCAATGAACCTTTTTTTACGTCGGGAAATCCTCATGGATACCTCTCTGCTGCGGGGGCAACAGAGAGATCATATCGGACTCCTACTAAAACCCCACGGTGTTCCGTCCCTGCATCTTTTGCCTACGGGAACGCTTTCGCACTCTTCCGCGGTCCCGATGGCGCTGGCCCTCGGCTAAGGGCCCCTTCCCGTTGAGGTGGAGCTGGAGAGACACCCATTCATCACTTACAGGGGCATGCAGGAACACCGCGCGCGCCACCTCGGGGTCTATACATTATGGGCGGCGGACGCCCATAAGGAGGGCATGATAGTTCCTCCTACGACGCCCTGCTCTCTTGCGGCAGATTGGAAGAAGGGTGGTGGCCTCCCTCTCCCGCGCCGCAGCTTCCTTTTGCAATATAACGCGATATAACTTTCCAGCATTGATGTGATCATTCAGGGAGTGACAGGTCGTACCCCACTGCGGCAACAAGTTCACGGCGCTCATTGGCCCAGGCTGGGCACACGTGCAGCGCGTGCTGTATCGTGTCTTCGCAGCAGCCACAATGGTGACATTCGGTTGTCGGTTCCCTCCTGGCTTTATGACATAGGTACTTTTCCTGTTTTTCTTTTCGCCCGGAGGGAGATCTCCCCGTAACACCCAGTCGAATCCGATGTTCCACAGAAGCGGTCCTAGCACCGACCTTTGCCCAGGGTATGAAATGTACCTCTCAGACAGGTAGGCATAATATTAATAAATAAATAAAGTTGTTTACAAGAATAACAGAAAATGACCAAAAAATAAAATTGGAGTTCATTGGAGGTATCGAAATTAGAACTACATGTCATATGGTGATTAATAAGCATGCGCATAGGAGTAGGGCCCAGGAGTATTACCATCAATGCTCATGTGGCACTAAGTGCGTTGAAATCATAGCGTTGCAACGCATTGGCGGCGCTCATGTGGCATCTTTTTTCCTTTTTCTTATAATATCAAGTGACGGGACGAACATGTCGTGCGCCTGATGGTAAGCAATACGCCTGTCCATAACAGGTCCAGTGCCACTCAGAGTTAAGGTAATGGTGCTGTTAAAATTACAGGTACATGGGACATGTCAACTTATGTCTCAGGGTGACCTGAGTCCTTTCTGACTGTAAAGTCTAAATTATTTTTTAATTTCTATCTTCTATACTCAAAGTAAATCCTTTAAAGGCGGTTTTTCCACCGGCGAGGCGTAACGAGACGAGGCGAGACGAGAATTGAAATCTCGTCGGCCTATTTCCAGAAATTATTACCAACAATAGCTCGCGCGAGCGTACGCTTTGAACTACTGATTCATGTGTCCCGTAAATTATTGTTATTAAATATGTCAACGTAAGAAGAATCAAACAAAGCCATCTTTTTCATATTTTTTAAATCGTATACGTACTTCACAATCTTGCGATTGACATTAATAGCCATAGCGCGATATATTGTGTGTCCGTTGCAGAGATAATACTCTATGTGGGCAGCAATACGGTTCAACATTGCCATCAAATTCCATTGAAAATGCTCTAGGAAAGAATTG